ATAGACTGAAATATTCTCTTCCAAGCCAAATAAATCTTATACATTAGAGATAAAGTCAATGAAAAGTGTTATTTATTTCATTCACACGAGTACATCGTGTAATTTAAATAAAAGTATAAAAGGGTTGCTTCAATTTTACGATTTTATTAATTTTTTTAAGGTGATGCTTTATACCCTAGACAAGTCGCCAATGAATTCAACGCCAGTCTTGCTATACTACTGAATCTTTTGGGATTGTTCTCGGCACACTGTGCGGCCAGAAAAAACAAAGGAACAGCTAGGATGGCGCTTATATCTATTGTGCTACAGGCTTATTCATGTATGTATTCTACGAAATTTGCTTCACTTAGAGGGGTAGATAAACTAACCTTAGTTACCTCATTATCTGCTCATTAGAATATAATTTAATTTTACTTGTAACACGTCATTTGAGTGGATAAAAGATTTTATCCATTTTGTACAATATAACTTGCCTACATCACAACGAGTTACGTCAAAAAAACGTATTACTCCGCTTGACGTTACTTTTAAAATTTAATCAATGTGAAGCCTTATTCTGGGGGAAAATTGTCTCATTGTCTGCACTGAAATTAAATTATAAGGAATGAAGCTGATTTCAACTTATATTATACGATATAACAAAACTTGGGGCAGTTTACGCTTATTTATAAACCGCTTCGCGGTTTATAAAGCGTAAACTGCCCCAAGTTATGTTATATCGTATAATATAAGTTGAAATCAGCTTCATTCCTTAATTAAAGTAATGTCATTAAAATTTTGCTTTTTCTGAGATTTGTTATTAAAAAAATATTACAAACGGAAATTATGAAATGTTAATATAATTCATTTAAAGTGATTTTTTTAAATTTAAAAAAAATCCAAAGCAGTAAAAACATTCGACTTTTTAGATTGTATTTACAGACAAGTTCATCACAGCAACCCTGGAATTTGCAGACAACTTAATTTAAACAGGATAGTAGATATTCTTGTAACACCAATGTTTTTGGCAGTAGTTTGCCTTGGTTTTAAAATTGATCGTAGTGGACTTTTCCTACATCAACAATGAAAATTAACTGTGGAAAAACTGGTCACCTCACTGGTCATACATTTCAGTCGTCTGTAATCAGTAAAGCACAGGATAAACAAGAGGCCCATGGGCCACATCGCTCACCTGAGAAGCTTTTACCATTCTGTTCTTTACCAGATTTCCCCCTTAAGCTTGTTATACATAATGCATCCCCACCCGACCCCACTGATCATAATTTAGACATTTTGAAATCTACACTACCCCATGATCCTTCCATGGGCACATATTTTTCAGCTTTTTTGGCCCAGTGGTTTCTGAGAAGAAGGTTTTCAAAGATATTTCCTATATATTTCTATGTAAAACTTTGATTCCCTATATTGGCCCCACCCTTTCCCCGGGGGTCATGATTCCTAAAATTTAGAATTTACACTACCCCAGAATGCTTCCACATAAGCTTCACTTTTTCTGGCTCAGTGGTTCTTGAGAAGAAGATTTTCAAAGATTTTTCCTATATATTTCAATGTAAAACTTTGATTCCCCATTGTGGCCCCACCCTTCCCCCGGGGGTCATTATTTGAACAATTTAAAATCTACATTACACCAGGATGCTTCCACATAGGTTTCAGCTTTTCTGGCCCAGTGGTTCTTGAGAAGAAGATTTTCAAAGATTTTTCCTATATATTTCTATATAAAACTTTGATTCCCCATTGTGGCCCCGCCCTTCCCCCGGGGGTCATGATTTGAACAATTTAAAATCTACACTACCCCAGGATGCTTCCACATAAGTTTCAGCTTTTCTGGCCCAGTGGTTCTTGAGAAGAAGATTTTCAAAGATTTTTCCTATATATTTCTATAATATGTTGACGGTGCGACCGTTAGGGCGAGCGCGGATACTTATCCAGTTTTCATTTAGATCGGACTCGTCAAACCGCACGTGACATTCAGCGCGTTTTAGCCTCTGACGTCATATGACGTCGTATGTATTTTGCATTATCAAAATCAGGCCTAAACAGGGCTGATTTTAAATGATGAACCGTTTTATTGACTATTTTCTGCAACAATTTCATTAAATCAGGGCAAGGTTTTTAATCGTTTAACTTTTTGTTCCTATTCTCGCGAGAACGTTGCTTTAGCGTTGTGTACTAAGCGTTGCATTGTGGGTCAAAATTACGGCGTCAAAAAATTCCATCGAATGAATGTGCAGTAGTCCGAATTTTCTCTTCGCACAGGCGTTGCTTTAAGAGCTCGCAGTGACGAGCGTCGCTTCGCGACGCTCGCTGCGCTCGCTATAAAACTTTGATTCCCCATTGTGGCCCAGCCCTTCCCCCGGGCCTCATGATGTGAACAATTTAGAATCTACACTATACCAGGATGCTTCCACATAAGTTTCAGCTTTTCTGGCCCAGTGGTTCTTGAGAAGAAGATTTTCAAAGATTTTTCCTATATATTTCTATATAAAACTTTGATTCCCCATTGTGGCCCCGCCCTTCCCCCGGGGGTCATGATTTGAACAATTTAAAATCTACATTACCCCAGGATGCTTCCACATAGGTTTCAGCTTTTCTGGCACAGTGGTTCTTGAGAAGAAGATTTTTAAAGAATTTTCCTATATATTTCTATATAAAACTTTGATTCCCCATCTGTGGCCCCGCCCTTCCCCCGGGGGTCATGATTTGAACAATTTAAAATCTACACTACCCCAGGATGCTTCCACATAGGTTTCAGCTTTTCTGGCCCAGTGGTTCTTGAGAAGAAGATTTTCAAAGATTTTTCCTATATATTTCTATATAAAACTTTGATTCCCCATCTGTGGCCCCGCCCTTCCCCCGGGGGTCATGATTTGAACAATTTAAAATCTACACTACCCCAGGATGCTTCCACATAAGTTTCAGCTTTACTGGCTCAGTGGTTCTTGAGAAGAAGATTTTCAAAGATTTTTCCTATATATTTCTATATAAAACTTTGATTCCCCATTGTGGCCCAGCCCTTCCCCCGGGGCTCATGATGTGAACAATTTAGAATTTACACTATACCAGGATGCTTCCATATAAGTTTCAGCTTTTCTGGCCCAGTGGTTCTTGAGAAGAAGATTTTCAAAGATTTTTCCTATATATTTCTATATAAAACTTTGATTCCCCATTGTGGCCCCGCCCTTCCCCCGGGGGTCATGATTTGAACAATTTAAAATCTACATTATACCAGGATGCTTCCACATAAGTTTCAGCTTTTCTGGCCCAGTGGTTCTTGAGAAGAAGATTTTCAAAGATTTTTCCTATATATTTCTATATAAAATTTGATTCCCCATTGTGGCCCCGCCCTTCCCCCGGGGGTCATGATTTGAACAATTTAAAATCTACACTACCCCAGGATGCTTCCACATAGGTTTCAGCTTTTCTGGCCCAGTGGTTCTTGAGAAGAAGATTTTTAAAGATTTTTCCTATATATTTCTATATAAAACTTTGATTCCCCATCTGTGGCCCCGCCCTTCCCCCGGGGGTCATGATTTGAACAATTTAAAATCTACACTACCCCAGGATGCTTCCACATAAGTTTCAGCTTTACTGGCTCAGTGGTTCTTGAGAAGAAGATTTTCAAAGATTTTTCCTATATATTTCTATATAAAACTTTGATTCCCCATTGTGGCCCAGCCCTTCCCCCGGGGCTCATGATGTGAACAATTTAGAATCTACACTATACCAGGATGCTTCCATATAAGTTTCAGCTTTTCTGGCCCAGTGGTTCTTGAGAAGAAGATTTTCAAAGATTTTTCCTATATATTTCTATATAAAACTTTGATTCCCCATTGTGGCCCCGCCCTTCCCCCGGGGGTCATGATTTGAACAATTTAAAATCTACATTATACCAGGATGCTTCCACATAAGTTTCAGCTTTTCTGGCCCAGTGGTTCTTGAGAAGAAGATTTTCAAAGATTTTTCCTATATATTTCTATGTAAAACTTTGATTCCCCATTGTGGCCTTGCCCTACCCCTGGGTGTCATGATTTGAACAATTTAAAATCTACACTACCCCAGGATGTTTCCACTTAGGTTTCAGCTTTTCTGGCCCAGTGGTTCTTGAGAAGAAGATTTTTAAAGATTTTTCCTATATATTTCTATATAAAACTTTGATTCCCCATCTGTGGCCCCGCCCTTCCCCCGGGGGTCATGATTTGAACAATTTAAAATCTACACTACCCCAGGATGCTTCCACATAAGTTTCAGCTTTACTGGCTCAGTGGTTCTTGAGAAGAAGATTTTCAAAGATTTTTCCTATATATTTCTATATAAAACTTTGATTCCCCATTGTGGCCCAGCCCTTCCCCCGGGGCTCATGATGTGAACAATTTAGAATCTACACTATACCAGGATGCTTCCATATAAGTTTCAGCTTTTCTGGCCCAGTGGTTCTTGAGAAGAAGATTTTCAAAGATTTTTCCTATATATTTCTATATAAAACTTTGATTCCCCATTGTGGCCCCGCCCTTCCCCCGGGGGTCATGATTTGAACAATTTAAAATCTACATTATACCAGGATGCTTCCACATAAGTTTCAGCTTTTCTGGCCCAGTGGTTCTTGAGAAGAAGATTTTCAAAGATTTTTCCTATATATTTCTATATAAAATTTGATTCCCCATTGTGGCCCCGCCCTTCCCCCGGGGGTCATGATTTGAACAATTTAAAATCTACACTACCCCAGGATGCTTCCACATAGGTTTCAGCTTTTCTGGCACAGTGGTTCTTGAGAAGAAGATTTTCAAAGATTTTTCCTATATATTTCTATATAAAACTTTGATTCCCCATTGTGGCCCCGCCCTTCCCCCGGGGGTCATGATTTGAACAATTTAAAATCTACACTACCCCAGGTTGCTTCCACATAGGTTTCAGCTTTTCTGGCCCAGTGGTTCTTGAGAAGAAGATTTTCAAAGATTTTTCCTATATATTTCTATATAAAACTTTGATTCCCCATTGTGGCCCCGCCCTTCCCCCGGGGGTCATGATTTGAACAATTTAAAATCTACACTACCTCAGGATGCTTCCACATAAGTTTCAGCTTTACTGGCTCAGTGGTTCTTGAGAAGAAGATTTTCAAAGATTTTTCCTATATATTTCTATATAAAACTTTGATTCCCCATTGTGGCCCCGCCCTTCCCCCGGGGGTCATGATTTGAACAATTTAGAATCTACACTACCCCAGGATGCTTCCACATAAGTTTCAGCTTTACTGGCCCAGTGGTTCTTGAGAAGAAGATTTTCAAAGATTTTTCCTATATATTTCTATATAAAACTTTGATTCCCCATTGTGGCCCAGCCCTTCCCCCGGGGCTCATGATGTGAACAATTTAGAATCTACACTATACCAGGATGCTTCCATATAAGTTTCAGCTGTTCTGGCCCAGTGGTTCTTGAGAAGAAGATTTTCAAAGATTTTTCCTATATATTTCTATATAAAAATTTGATTCCCCATTGTGGCCCCGCCCTTCCCCCGGGGGTCATGATTTGAACAATTTAAAATCTACATTATACCAGGATGCTTCCACATAAGTTTCAGCTTTTCTGGCCCAGTGGTTCTTGAGAAGAAGATTTTCAAAGATTTTTCCTATATATTTCTATGTAAAACTTTGATTCCCCATTGTGGCCCAGCCCTTCACTCAGGGGTCATGATGTGAACAATTTAGAATCTACACTATACCAGGATGCTTCCACATAAGTTTCAGCTTTTCTGGTCCAGTGGTTCTTGAGAAGAAGATTTTCAAAGATTTTTCCTATATATTTCTATATAAAATTTGATTCCCCATTGTGGCCCCGCCCTTCCCCCGGGGGTCATGATTTGAACAATTTAAAATCTACACTACCCCAGGATGTTTCCACATAAGTTTCAGCTTTACTGGCCCAGTGGTTCTTGAGAAGAAGATTTTTTAATGACCCAACCCTATTTTTGTCTTTTCTTGATTATCTCCCCTTGCGAGGGGATATGTCCCTTCATTTTAACAATTTAAATTCCCCTTCACCCAAGGATGCTTTGTACCAAGTTTGGTCAAAATTGGCCCAGTGGTTCTTGAGAAGAAGTCAAAAATGTGAAAAGTTTACAGACGGACAGACAGACGGACGGACGGACGGACGGACACAATGTGATTAGAAAAGCTCACTTGAGCCTTCGGCTCAGGTGAGCTAAAAATACATGTGGCAGTCTCTATTTCTTTAATTTCTATTTCACTGGCATATATTGAGTCGTTGTATGACCCAGGAGTCAGCTCAACAAAGACCACAACGCTATTGTCAATGTGGAACTTTTATATCTTAGAATCTCAACTTCAGAGATATAGTATATGTTGAATTAAAATTATTTTTAAGGATGTAATTTATTGTTTATGAAGAATTGGTTAAGAGTTCTGAAAGATTTAGTCTTATTACATTTAATACTATATTTTCAGTTTTTGTAACATTCGGTTTCATTATGGACTACCTTGTGATCTACATCCTGGCACAGAGACACGACTCTGAATACACTGGATACACCTACGTCACAAGCAGCACACAGATGCCATATTCCTTGATCATCACTGGAGTAGCCTTATTCATTCAAGCTTCTGTCATTATGTACTTTCTTGCAAAGTTATGTCGTCTGCTTGACGGGACTTTACTAAACAACGAATCGCCACCCCCGTATCAGCCACTTTTAGATAATGATGGGGGCGGCCATCAATACACATACGGGACTTCTAACGAAAATCAACATCCGGTACCTAATGCTCCTACAGATTATCCCAGAAACAACAATCCATTTGAAGAAAATACCAATCAGCGATTCAGGAATGAGAGCAATGCTTAACTGATTGATTTAGTGATTTAGCCACTATATAGCACTGAATTTGATAATTTCAATAAGAAAACTTCGTCTCTATGTACAGATATGTTGGCATTATATCAGAAAGGAATATGATTATATCATCACAAATTCTACCCAACGAGGGCAAAAACATTTCAGATCATAATTTAAATCAAAATTGGATTACAAACGTTGAACAGTTTGCCAGTACCTGTGCTTTAATTCAACAATGTCTTAATAGTTGAGCTATAAACATAAATAATTATTTTTGGTCTAATTCTATCTGATCTTACTTTAGAAATAGATACTTTCATCATCTATGGCCAAGAATAAGGTCTAAAATATTGAATATAATCTTTGTAACAGAATTTTTGTTTGAAAAAAGATCTAGATCAATTAAAATTTGCTGTTTAGTGTTTACTGATGCATGCTATAAATGTGTCAAGGAGAGTCAAATAGACCTTTTAACATTTTAAAATTCAACATTTTTCTTTGTACTAAGAAAGGCACACTCGTTCTGAAAATCTGACAATATTCACAAAAGTAAATCAAAAGTCAATTAAAGGAAGACAGAAACATTAAAATTGATATGCTTAGTATTGCTATAATTTTTATTGTATTCAAAATCCTTAAAAATTTCACTTATACAATAACTTAACTATTTTACATATAACAAATTTTCATCTTCTTTGCTTGCAAATAAACATTTAAACATTTAATACTTCTTTATCTTTGGGTTACATTGATTTTAATTCCGTATTTTGCTCTCATAACAAGTTCTGGAAATTCTTCGTACACGTGACCTTCCACCAATTCCACTTTGAATCTGGAAATAATAGTTCATGATCATGGTTATGCTTTTGTTTACTTCTAAAAATATTAATGATAAAGTATATTACATATATTAACAAATAATTTTTCCTTTATCATTTTACATTACCTTTTCACTAAAGCAGCAATCATAACTTTTTCTTCATTCACTGCAAAATTCTGCCCGATGCAATTTCTGATAAAAACATGTTAGAGTTGAGAAAACTCTCTTTTTATATATCTCCTGTATATAAAAGGTTGGCTTGAATTTTATCAAAAAGTAGAAGTGTTCTATGTGCACACACAATAAGGGTATACATTTCTCTAAATGTTTCAATTTTCCTTCAGTACATGTATAAAATTTGATAAACCAACTGCTTTTAATACCATGAAAATCATACTGTGCTTTTTAAATTTTTCCATGAGATTTGCACAACACTTATCCAGGACATTGTAAGTAAAATGGTACTCAGTATTTTAGCCTTAAAAATTATAAAACCTGAAACCCTTCTGAATACATGTATTTGAGTTCCTAAACTTTGCTTAACGAAAAGGGATAAAAATTGTTATAAAATGTAATAATAAAACCTGGAGCCCCTTAAAAAAGGACTTGAAATGAATAGCTTTCTATACCTGGAACTCATTGAAAACAAAATGCAGTTGTAATTTGTACATGGAGTTTGCTGAAAATGTACAAAATAATTTGGATCTTTATACTTGGGGCCTGCTGGAAACTGAATATTATTGCATGTGTCTCTTTACCTGGAGCTACGTAAAACTGAATATTATTGTATGTAGTTCTATACCTGGGGCCTGCTGAGAACGGAATATAATTGTACGGATCTCTCTCTTGTCTCTTTTCATCCTCAAACCTCGAAGGTCGAAATTCCTTCAATAATCAAAGCATGTATAGGATAAAAGAAGCGTTATTATGTATTTTAATGCATTTTTATGGTCCTATGATGGAAGGTAATTTTAAACTACCGAATCATCATGTGTACAATACATTTCATCTAGAAATTGTGACGTCACGCCTCATATCTTTACTTACTACTCCTTTGTTGCTATGACAATTACGTTTACATACCATGTGATCAGGCCAAACGTCTGGATGATGATTGATTGCATGAATTAAAATGTTGACTTGAAAATGTGCAGGAATCTCTACCCCATCTAAAACCAAGGGCTTTGTCAGCCAACGACTTATAAAAGGCACAGGACTGTGCATTCTCATAACCTCCTTCAGAAACATCGAGGTGTACTTTAACTTATTAAGATCTTCCCTGAAGAAAGTAAGAAAACATCAGAATTAATTAAAAACTTAATTTACAATTTCAAATTGAATCGGTTGAGCAAGCAAACACCAATTTGCTCATTTACATAACATATTAATAAATTTGTTAAATTTTTTTAAGATGAAATTAAAATTATTATGTTGTTTTCAAATCCACTATATATTTAATTCATAACAAAGAACTATATGCGGTATATTGCATATGTTTGCCCCCACAAAAGTCAAATTTTGAAAACTTCCTGAAATGTGCTGAATTCAATAAATTGTACGAGAAATATAAGTTAACAGAAAATATTATAGTTCCAGAGCAGTGTATTCACAATTTCTGTTATTATGACGTCACAAACTAGTCCGATTTTATATCCTTTTTCAGAAAGAGGACAAAATGGACAAAATTTCAACAATTTAAGCTTTAGAATTTATAGAGCGCATGTGTGTTCAGGAACAATATTGACATATTTCATTGATATTATCATTCTACACATTATATCAAAATATCTATCCTGAACACACATGCGCTCGGTGACTTTTATTCAAAATATCGACGAAATATGTACATTTTTCTGCAAAATTCATAAAAAACTGAAATTACGTCATATTTGTGACGTCATTACGTACATATGACGTCATTACTTATGAAATTATTCTGTGCTTTGAAGTCAGCATATACTCCCCTGTTTAAGGACTTGATTAAATATTACTCCATCAAAGTTTGATTTTGGGGGGCAAATGTTGGTTAATACCGCATATAGTTCTTTGACTGAAGTAGATACTGATGAGAATTTCAGTGAAATTAATAGGTTACAAACTGGTCGATGTTTAATACACATGTATTTAATTTCTCTCAAAATGCAACCTTATCAACAGAGATTTCGTTTGAAATCAAAAGACCATTCAATAGGTTTTTTCTGTCATTGTATCCAAATTGAAGGAATATTCCAGATCTTCACATATCAAAAATTTTACATTCTGATGTTTTAAGTTATTTTGCAGATAACAAAATGATTATATAAGGAATTTTGTAAGTGGAAATGCTAAAAATGAGATAAATTCAGCTGCTTTCACAACATTCAGCCTCCACACCATGTAACTTGTGGTCTGCCATCTAGAACTGACGTCACTTCCTGGTAAACCTTTTCCTGTTCTTCTGGATACTTGGCTAAACAGTAAATAGCCCAACTTATAGCCGATGCTGTTGTATCGTGTCCTGTAATGAAAACAGATTTTCCATCACCAATACTCAACTTTCCTCCCCGTTTAATTGGGGGATAAAAAAAATCTGTGAATACTGTTTGACATTTTTAAAGAACGTACTGCTTTAAATTTAATTTCTTTCTAGACGAATGTTTTATTACATTTGAAGAATAAAAAAAAATTGACAATTTCATCAAAACTTCACAAGAAATATGTGTTTCAAATGATAAAAGGTTTTTGTGACTATTTACACCAATTTTTACCTTCAAAAAGGAAAGTATCCACCTCTGCCCTGATGTCCTGGTCATTTAGACCTTCCCCATTCTCATCTTTAGCCGTGATCAAAATGTCTAAAAAATCTAGCCTTTTTCCCGCTCTCTTATTGGTATCCATCTCTGTCTGCAGTGTGTACTCATATTACAGAAAATAACCATAAAAACTATGCTAAAGAGAAAATTGCAAGATATAAATTAAACATTTTTAATACCAAAGCTTTCCTACGAGAAGCGATAATTTCATCAGCAAACCCATGAACATAGTCGATGAGACGCTTGTATTCCCTGCCCATGGATGAGAGCCAAAACAAAACATCCGGATAAAGCCATGGACATCTGAATTAAAATAGTTAAAAAATCACACGTATATGTCTTTGATACTAATTCATTTTTTGAAATATAATGCAAATAGATACTTACAAAGTCCTTTGAACGGATAGATACCCCAGTCGTCGGACAGCCTGTACATATGGGTGACTATCTCTGTGAAAATTTAAAAAAAAATGCTTTTTTCTGAAGGGGACACTCTTGATACCCATGATTTTGTTCCAAATAAACTCATAAATTATTTTTTTCATAGACAAAGTGATAATTTTAAGTACAAAAAGTGTTATACGTGAACCTGATCAAATTATACAGAGGGAGGCTCCCCGTTTTTAAATGATATCGAATTATATTCTTTCTTGAGGATTAATTTCGTAATTTTAATATTCAGTCAAACCCATACCCCTTTTCCTGTACCTGCCCGGAATAGGACAACGAACATCTTAACATGGTATCCAATGTAGCCAGTGATATGTGGCTGTAGATTTCTATCGCTTCTTTTGAATCACAAGCTTTTTGTAATTTTTTCTAATAATTTTAAACAAGGAAAACCATCAATACATAATTTTCACAAATTCAGGGAAGGGAGAATTGAAATCTCACAATAATGCTGCTTACGAGAAATATATTGGCGACATCGTTGTAGATCTGGACATAAGGTCTGAGAATGTCAAAATGAAAGGCGGGAGTTAGCAGACGACGATTTCTCTCCCATTTCTTCCCGTCCGACAGCAATAGACCGTCACCTTATCATTGCAAGGAAAGATTGTTACGATGAACACGTGAACAAGTGTCTGAAAAGAATCTAAAATAAAGCGTCGGATGATTTCTCCACTTCCACTTACCTAACCAAGGCAAGATCATCCTATAAGCTCCCCCAAGGTTATATTTGACTTTTGGTTCAGAAGATTTTAGCAGGATTTTGGCCGTGTCGGGATGGCATGTGGACAAAACAGGATAAAAAAACATGATCCACCCGCTAACGAGCCTCGCTTTGGTTTTCTCCACCGTGACAGAAACCAGTTTGAAGAAGTCGGCCATATCATTTATCTATCAAAATAATAATGACGACTAAATATTAATTCGAATAATTTAATGTATACCTGACAACCTTAGTATAGTTAACTAAAATGAAAATTTTGAAACATTAAAAATTAGCAGATATTATTTAAATTAGTTTAATTTCGAAAAAAAAAATTGAATGTCTAGGAAAAAAATTCTTCACACAAATTAAAAACTTGTAGGAACTAACCACAATGTTTGTCTCCTACAATCATTCCAATACTTTTATAATTGAAGTACTGACAATGATCTGATCATAATTGCATTTTTAAGATCACTAGCTTTGAGAAACAATATTATAAATAGACAACAGAAGGAACTTAGAAGGTGGTTAATTGAAATTTCAGAATACTTCTCAGTTCGTTGTCATTTTTCTTCGACTCTACTTTTCAAAGTTAAATTTATACGTTCAAAGACGCAACAACTGGCAACAGTTAAAAACACAGTATGTTATTTATGTGAATAT